TGCCCAGGGCCGTGTAGGGGAGCAGGAGCCCAGGGCCGGCGCGGCTGGCGGTGGCGAGGAAGAGCCCTCCCGTCCCTCGCCGCGGTGAGTCTCAAGCCATGCAGTTATGGTGCAGCGGCGCGCGGGGCCAGCGGCGCAGCCACGCGACCGGCATTCCCAGCGCGGCGGTTACAGGAGACAAGCGAGGGCAAAAATACAGACACGGGGCGCGGAGCCCGGCCCCTCCGCTCCGCACGCGGCAGCTCCCTTGTCCTCCTGGAAAGGGGCAGCGGGTCCCGGCGTTCCCTCCACGCCAAGGGCTCCTCATCCCCCTCGGGCTCTGCTCTTCCCGCACCCTCCGCGGGCCGGGCTGGCTCTTGGCAGCATTTCTGCAAACAGGCTGGGGAGCTGGGGACCACCAGCAGCCTCCTGCTCTCCTGCTCCCTGTCCCAACCTCCTTCCAGCTCTCACACCCTTCCCAGCACCGATGCCTACAGGGCAGCAGTGTCTCATAGGGATGCAGATGTGCAAGGGATGCCCTTGCCCTGATGCCTGGCTCAGCGGTGGCCCTGGGCGTTATCCCTGCTTGCGGGATGGTTGGATAGTTTAGCCATTCCCGTTCGTGCTCCCAAACACGGTCCCGCTGCCGGAGGGCGTTAACGCTGCGGAGATGTCGGAGTGGGCGGCTTTGCCGTGTGCTGTTCACGTGCAGCACCTGCCTGGGAACCGCCACCAAAACCGCTGCTCCTTTAGGGACCAGAGACCCCCCTGCCCGCGCACGGCCGGCGGGTGACCCTCCTGCCCAGGAAGCTCTTCTGCGGGGACCGGCTGCGCCTGCGTGGCTGCTGGGCAGCCGCGACCCGGCCACCAGCTGCACTTGCTCCTCCTCCCCGCTACCAGGAAAGCGAAATCAACTCGTGCTTTAAGCACCTGGAGGACTATGTGCACTGCCAGCAGCCCTGTGCCCGGCCACCCCTCTGTGAGCCAGATAACCCCTTCCCTCTGCTCTGGATGCCTGATTCCCACATCACATCCAGTCTGTGGTGGCGGGAAGCCTGTTTCCTACCCTCACTGCCTTTGCTGATGCCCATCCACCATCTCCTCTTCCTACGCGCGTGGCCACAAGGTCCTGCCAAGAGCAGCGCAAGGTTCACAACATCTGCTGCAGCTCCCAGCGAGCCTGGACCTCCCGTGCACCTTACCTGCCTTCGGGGCTAACACACCATGAATCAGATTGCCAACACAGAAAGACCTGGCCAAGCCCTTGGGACAAACTTTTTGCTGGTGTCCCTATTGGGGTTTTAACCTCTGCTCAACCCCTGAGGCCTGCAAGGCTTTCAGAGCAGTTATGCTGCCTTGCCTCCAACTCAACACCAGCAAGTTGTGGTGTGCTGAGGCCTTCAGCCTCCCAGCAACAGTTACACCTGGTCTTATTGCAAAAAAACAACCACAAAAACAACTCCCCGTCCCCAATTTAAATCTACTGATTCTCCACTTCTTCATAGCTGTCAAGTCTGTAGGGGATGAGGCACAGTACAGATAAAGTGTGAGAGTTACCTGCTCCGGTAATCGCTGGCATATTGAAAATCTCTGTCCCGGGCTGCCCAACATCTGGGAAAAAAAGAGTTCTTTAGTAGAGGGAACAGTGCGAATAGGCTGGCTGTAGGGACAGACCTGTCACACTGGCCATGGCAGGGCACTGGTGTCCCCTTCACAGCGCCCAGGCTGGCAACGGCCCACGTGCAGAGTGTCGGTGCCACCTCCAGCCCCACTGCGTTCCCACCTCCGTGGGGCTCAACCCTCCCTCTGCCTGCAGGGCTTCTGAAGGCTCAAATCCCCATAGCCAGGGAGCAGGCTGGGGCAGTGGGGAGCAGAAGAAATGCTAAATCAATATTTTCCTTCTTAGCTGAGCTGTTTGACTTGGATATCGCTTTCCTTGGAATAACAGAAATTCTCATAAAATAAGAGCCGTTTCCTATTTCTGTATATTTTCCCTTGATAAGGGAAAGTGTGGAATGTCACGGGGTTCAGCCGCGTGTCCCCGAAGGGGCATAACAATGCAGTTGGCTCATGGTAACATCATCCGGGAGACGAGACAGCTTGGTCCCTCTTATCCGATGCAGCTGTTGTAAGATGGATTCAAATTGAATTAGCATTGACTGTATAATGCTGGGCTAAATTAAATCATGATCCTATCTACTCTATTAGTGGTTAATGAATGAACGGGCTGAATTTCTAACACAAGCCAGCCTGGTTAGTTTCACAGAGCTGTACCAATATTGATGGAGGGATTAATGTAATGCTGTGGGGAGATGCGCCTCAAGGAGGAAGGATTCAGCTTGGCTGGCCACTCATTAAAATACCAATTGCTTTTAAGTCTCCTCCATGCTCAACTCATTTACTTCCTTCCTGTTTAGCTTATCTGCTGCTGCCACACAGGTTGGACTGACAGTCCCCCAGCAAGGAGCCATGCACCTGGGACACCCTGCGGTCACCTCCTTGGGTGCTCACAGCCACCCAGGACCAGGGGGGCTAGTTGCAAAAAGTGTCTGGTACTGGTGCTTCCCAGCAAACCTCAGCATGACCAGGAGACGACTGGGTGGGAGTCCCAGCCCTTAATCACAGCAGCACCCACTCCCAAGGCTCCTTTGCTTCACGTGTGCCCCCGGCTTGCCCCTCTGGTGCCCCCACTCGCTTCCCCACATGTCCTTACTGTACTCCGTCTCGTTCTTGTTGGTTGTGCTGAGCTTCTTGATGATCTCCTGCTTCTTGGACTTCACCATGGCAGAGTTGCTCTCTGTCAGCTTGCTAAAGAAAGCTGGGGGCTGACTGTTATTTCCTGGGGACTTGGACCCCATCCTGCAATGAAAAAGCGTGTTAGAAACCAGTGTGATGTCCGGTTCGCCAAATCCCACCTCAAATGAATCTCCCCCAAATCCGCCCTTGGCCTCCTGCATTGTTTGGTATCTCCAAGTTCTCTGCCCAGCTCTATTTTAAATGTATCTCAGTGGGGAAACATCCCTATGAGCCATACAGACAACCATCTGGGATGTGAATCTACTTTTGGCTGCAAGAAAAGTTCTTCTTTCCTAATTATTCCAACCTTTCAATGAATGAGCCCAACTAAATTCCTTTCACAGACCTAAAATTCAGTTCCCTAAGAGCAGATCTTTCCTGTTCAGCCAAACCTTCACGAAAAGAGTTCGTAAAGGGAGACATTTCCAGAGATGTGAAAGAAGGGCCAGGCCATCACCCGCTCCAGAGAAAGGGGTTGGAGCTGATGTATTGGGATCACTGGGATCTACAAGGTGCATCAGAACACCTCCATTCTCCCTGCTCTCCCCAGGAGACGGGCACTTTGCTCGGATGTGCTTGCAGAGCAGCAGGCAAACCCTGCAAGGCTCCGACTAGGAAGGGGATCTCGAAGGCCAGGGATCTTGGAGGCCTGCTCCTCGGAGAGGCCGTTTCCAGAGCCAGCTGGCCCCTCACCCTGATTTTGGATTAACAGAGCCACAAAAAGAAGACATCCCCCAGCTGGCCCCGCGCGTGCCGCGGCGATGGGGATGCTTCACAGGGCAAGGCAGAGGCAGGTCCTCTTGCAGCCCCGAGCGGTGTGGGGACAAAGGGACCCCCTCGTGCTGTTTCCAGCGCCCCGTCGCTCCGCGGTACCTCTGGTCCAGCTGCTCGCCCTCCCGGTACAGGATCGGGTACGTGGCGCTCTTGGCGTGCTCCGATTCCGTCTGGTGGTGAGACCGGCTCGATGCAGTTGTCCGGCCCTCTCTCCGCCGCCGCTTTGCTCTGCTCCGGGGACCTGCGGAGGGGATGGGGAGATGCAGCCTCCTATTGCAACATCCTGCGTCTCCGCACAGCGGCTCGGGGGCTGAGGGGGAGTAGGGAGGCCTAAAATAGCTTTCTGTAAAGCAGGGAAAGAAGCCAAACCTTCCACACCCTTTTGGGCTTACAGCTCCTTTTAACACAACCCTTAGGAACGGAGCCGCTTGGGCATTTTTTGAACCACAGGCGTGCAGAGAAGGCCTGAACCGAGATGCGGCCCAGATTTCCAGGCAGCGGGCCAGCCAGCAACTGGCCCACATAGAGTTAGTTACCCAGGAGAGACAGAGGGACAAGTCCTGGGACACTCTGGCTCAGCCCATGGGCCCCTCTACCCTGCAGAGCTCTCCTGCACGCGCGGGTACCCCGATTGCTGCTGCCCCTGGACGGCGGCCGCGTGCTCCTTGGTGGGGCTGAGGCACGGGCGCGTTGGGGAGATGTCCGTCCTCATCCTGCACCACTCTTGCTAACACACGGGAGGGGACCATCCCGCCACTGCCCACACCGCGTTGGGAGCGGGTCCCCATCGGCTCTGGGGGTCGCACGGGTGGGCAGAGCCTCTGCAGGGGCCGCTGGGGCCCACGAGGGCCGGGCACGGGCCAGCCTGGAGGGGACCCGCCAGCCACGGGCCACACTGGGGAGGCCTCTGATGCCTGAATGTAGCAGCTGCCTGGGAGGCAGCCAGGGTCGCGTCCGCGAGGAATTCCTCACGGCGAGTTCTGGGAATTTGCGTCTTTGTTCTTTCTGTGGTTTCTTTTTTTAATTTTTTTTTCTTCTCTGGGTGGCCAGGGCTGGTTTCTCTTCTCTTATGCTATAAAGCCTATTCTGGGGCCATGCAGAGCTGGGAAAAATAATCCCATTTACTGACACAGGGTCATAGGTTTGGAGACACCAACATTTCCTGGACGTATCTGGGCCTCATTGAACTGTCTGCATTAGGGCAGGAGGGCAGATCCCACTCTAGGATTTCCAACGAAAGACTCCCATTTTTTCAACTCACTACAGCAGCAGTTATACTTTTCTTGTGATGCTACTTGCATAATTTTAAAGTGACTAAAACAAAAAATAAAGCTGGTGCCTCAAATGGGTAATTATAGATGACGCAGCACATACATCTAACAAGCTTCTGATTCACTGGAAAAGGATGGAGATAAAATTCATTCTGAATCAACAGAAGAAGAATTGCATTGGATTTTTTGGAACTACCTGGTATCTGCTAGGTCACCATGCAGTGACCTGCCAGGGACCAGGGGATGGAGAAGGGGGTCACAAACAGACCTTAAGGGTGCCTATAGGGCATCCCTGAGACAACTGGGCAGGCAAGGGAGGCACCACAGGGCAAAAGTGCCAAGATGAGAATATAGCTTTAGGCTCTGGGTGTTATAATCAAGTGATGCCCATGAGCCCCAAGCTGGAGACATAAACTCAGCAACGACCCGGGTCACCCACGGCATCGCCCAGCTGCTCACCCTGGCAGCCCTGCGCCGCTGAGCGCCCGCTTGCCCAGCGGGCTGGTAGCCCCCATCCGTGCCCGCTCCGCTCGGATGCTCTGCTCTCACCGTTTGCCTCCTTCGCTCTGCGGGGAGATCCTGGAGGCCGCCGCGTGCTCCTGCTGCTGCAGATAGGCCTCGCTGGGCGTGCGCCGCAGGTCCAGCACGGGGCAGGCGGCCCCGGGGAAGGAGTACACGGGCGTCTGGATGTGGGAGTTCAGCTGCTGAGGGTGGTGGCGAGTGTAGTCCTGGGTGATGACCTCCTAGAAGAGAACCCCGACCCTGAAAGAGTTGGTTCCCGCTTCCTGCTTTGCGGGACTCAATCAAGAGAGCACGAGCAGGGGGAGATGCTCTGCACCGGCTGCGCTTCCCCTGGGTTGGATTGAACCAACCGGGCTGAACGTGCTCGGGGCACCAAACCACAGTGCTCTGGTCTCCAGCATCACTCCTCCCCACCAGACGGCTCAGCTCTGGAGATGGTTCCATCCTCCTCCCCAGGGCCCCAGGAAGGAGGGATCGGGCTCACTCACACTGATGTGCTGCGCCAGCGTGACCACGCGCTGGTTCATGCCTTTGACGCTCTGGCTGGCCTGCAGCGGCTGGCACGGGGGCTGCTGGCTCTCCGACGCGCGGAGGTGCTGCAGGTGGGCTGCTTCGGGAGCCGAGGCCTTCAGGGAGGCTGCGGGAGCACAAAGGACAGGGCTGCAGCACCAGGAAAGCTGCCTCCTCCTCCTCGGCCACGAGCAACATCCTGACACGGCACCGGGGCATGGAGAGCTCGGCAATGCCCGCGGCGGTGCCAACCTCACCTTGCTGCTTCTGTCGCAGGTCATGCTCTGCGTGGCCCTTGTCCGGGTCCTGCAGCAGCTTGGCCCCCTTCTCGTGGGCCAGGCTGGGCGAGCTCACCGGACTCACGGCCTCGATGCGGTCCGGGCTGTAGCCACCATGGAAGCCTGTGGAAGGGGAAGAGGGGCCATTATGCTGGAGCTCCCTTTGCTCTTTCTGAGCACAGCTGCAATGATTGCTTGAAGGAGTCGTCTCATGTTCAGCTAAGGGGGGAATGAAGAGGTCAAGGAAGACCTGGTGGGTGAAACCACGAGGAGCAGACGTGGGGCAGTGTGGGGCAAGTGCAAGGTGAATCTGCCCTCCAAGCCACCGTGGGACAGAGCAGGAACAACAGGCCACCCAATTTTGCCTTTTGGTGATGTCTGTGAAAACGCTGTGTTCCCCATGGAGCTGGGAATACCACAGCTCAGACAGAACAAACCAAACGCAGCCCCTCTCCATCCCGCAGTGAAACACAGAAAAATAGAAACCAGGCTATGCCAGGAGGGAAGCAATCCCCTGCGTGCAGGGTGGTGGGTGGCAAGGGAGATCTCCAAGTGCTCTACAAAGAAAAGCCCAAAGGCCAATGCAGCCAACATTGGTGATTTGAAGACTGGAAACCAGGCCCTTCAGACTCCAGGTCCTGCTCCAAAGACACCACAGTGACACGCTGGGGCTCCTTGGCCTTTCTCTGCCTTTGAGCCCCTGGTGCACCTCAACGTGCATCCAAACAGACTGAGCTGGAATGAGGACCATCACCATCTTTGTCAGAGCAAGACGAGCAAGGCACACATGGGCCGTGTTTCTGCAGCCTAGTGCAAAGGACCAAGGTGTCCTGGACTCCCTGAACCCCAAGTCTGACGCTCTGCAGCGAGGGAGACACACGCTGCCTCTCTCTAGCTAAGAAGGTTTGGTAACACTTAGGACTTTCGTCTCAACAGGCCTTTAACCTCCTAATGGGAATTCCTAGAACCTGCCAATTTGAAGCAGATCTGGCCCTCGACCCACGGCGCTGACGGAGAGGGCCGGGTTCCCAGCGCGGACTCTGTCGCAGCCGCCCTGACCTCTCACACTGGGGAAGCCTCTCTGGCACGACCTGCCAGGCACCAAGAATTAAGCAAGTCCTTGGTAGCCAAGACCATTGCAATCAGCACATGGATCACAGAGACGCCCCTCTTCCTTGGCACGGTTAACATTCAGCTGGAGAAAGCACTGACATCAGGAAATAATGTACAGGAAAAGCTAAGCTGGGCAATGCATCCAGGCCAGAAGCACATCCTGAGCCCTGGATGTTGCGCCAGGATGAGCGAATAGGGAAGTGCAAGGGAGAGCAGCTCTCCTCCCTCAGACCACACTGCCATGCCCTTTCCATGTGTTTTCCATGCTCTGCCCTATTGTGCTACAAGAAGGAGGATTTGGTGGTGCCACCCAGTGCTGATGGCCACAGCAGATGCTGGCAGATGCTCCAACTTGAGGAAGGTGCTTTATTAAATCACTGCAGCTGCCTGCTACTCCTGCACATTGATGGGGAGTCTGGATGAGCGCTCTGGGTGAAGCCGATAGCTCTCTCCAGGGTTGTCCCATCATGATTAGCCCAGACCCTGAATCCAATTCCCTTCCTGCACCTTTTTCTGCAAAAACTTATCTTGCCACGTTTGTTGTGTGCAGGATTGCTGTCGAGTGGTTACTGTGGTCAGCTCTGGAAGCAGTTGCAGAGCTCGGCTGGGTTAAGCAATCCCTGAACCTCCCTGCCCACATTTCCCTCTTATCCCACATCCATAGCTAGGGACCCTAAGTGGATCCCGTTCAGCAGCCTGCAGAGCACTTTTGTGCATGCTCCTGCATGCTCCAAGGCACAACTGAGAGTAGGGACGTGCCTGTCTGCTGGCCAGCAGCCCTGTCACACTCTCCTCTCCGCTCGTTTGATTTATTACCCACAACTGTTTCTTACAGACTGCCTGGGAATTTCTAATTATGGGGAAATCAGAATTAGCAAATTGCTATTGTCCGTAAAAAGTAATACCAGGAATTGAATGACATTTGCGAAACAAGCCTTGGCAATGGAAATAATTAAAAGAGGATGGGAGAAGGGAAGATCCCTAAAACACACACAAATAAAAAGCCTGGAATAACGTAACAACTGGGAAGCAGAGAGAGAAATACACTCGGGTTGCTGACGAAGCCAATAGCCAAAACGTGCAACTAAAAATAAGAAATAACAAAATAAAATCAGTTTCAAGCCGCAGATTTGCTCTCTCCTCCCTCCCCTCCGATTCTTTAGCATCACTAGTGGAGTTGTTACTTAGCGAGCCTCCTTCTCGCTGCCCCTTATTGCAAGAAATTTGATGCATGACAATCTCATCTATGAAGTTGGCCGCTGTCGTGGTGGTCTTACCGAGTGCTCGGAGCTCCTGTTCCTGCATTGAAAAGGGTTTACTTTGACTCTTTTCTCTACTGTGCTGCTCAGGGCCTGAGGCTCCGTGCTGCTGGTCCAGGGAGTGATGGTGCTGCTGGCTTTTCCCCTGTCCTCTGCTATAGTGATGAGAAGAACCGGGCCCAGAGGCGGGTAAAGGCCTCGACTCCATGGCTTTAATAGGTGAAGGCGACTGTTCTAGGTTGGCCCCGGCGGGCAGCTTTGAGGTGAATATGTTGTTGTCAGTCTGGGGACGTTCTACCTTGGCTTCTCGGGCCCTTGAGGCCTCTTTCTGTAGCACGGCCGGGTCCATCATGGCTGCGTAGCCGTCCACCGCCCCGATGGAGGAGCGCAGCGTGGAGGCCGAGGGGAAGCCTGCAGTGCGGATCGGCGACGTCGTAGTGGTGGATGAGGATCTGCGAGGAAAAAGAAAAACAGGCAAAGATAAGAGAACCAAGCGGTGAAGGGAACTGCTGCTACTCATTCCCCCACATCAGCCCTGTCCATCCAAGGTCGTTACAGAGCTCCTGCGTGTTGCGTTGGCCCATACTGGAGCAGGTGACAAGGACTCAGACTGAGTCTCCACCACCCACATATCCCCCACAACGGCTGGCCATGGGCTATTTGCTGTCACCAGGATGATTCAAGCGGAGAGAACAAAAACCATGGAACAAATCCCAGAGACCATAAAAATCCCAGACAGAAGGAGGAAACTTTCAGTAAAAGAGTTGGCATCTGTATTTGGTCACAGATAGCCCTCAAGCATCTTCTGTGGTAATAGTTAAAGCCAATAGATAAAGACAAAGAAGAGGATACCCAAATCGGCCTCTGCCTGTCACAACCTTTTTGCAAGCTCCAGTCCTGCTCTCCCTGAGATCGAAGGCCAAGATACCCTCACTCCACCTCAGCGGCGCACGAACCAACGCTCGTGACGTAACCGCCGTGGCCGGCCGCAGCGCGGAGCTGTCGGTGGCGGCGCCGGCCCCGCGGACCCCGCCGGGGCCGGCCGCAGCGTGGAGCTGTCGGTGGCGGCGCCGGCCCCGGCGGGGGACGTACCGCAGGACGGAAGGCGTGGGGTTCTCCGAGGAGATGATCTTCATGCTCGTGTTGTGGAGGACACTGGGGCGCTGCTGGATAGTCTCGTGGGTGCGGGGGGAGACGGGAGAGTGTTGGTGGCTGTGAGAGTGCGACGACGAACGGCTGCTGGACTGCTCCGTACCTGGGGGCAGGCACAATTTTAGACCTCTTCAGCCCCCCTGGTTACAGTCCCAACCCCACGTTCACCCAACACTGGCCCCGACACATTGTGCCGGGCTCCTCCCCAGCCTACCTGGTCTCCAGATGGGCGCGTGCTCCACGGTGGTGGACGCTAGGATGGACTTCTCGCGCTCCCTCTCACGTTCACGCTCCCGATCCCGCTCCCGCTCAGCCACCGATGATCCCGACTGTTTGGTCATGTGTGTGGGGCCTCCTGAAAAGGAAAGGCAGTGAAAGGACTGCAGGCAGAGCAATTCCCTGGCAGGGAACACGGCCTGCTCTTCGTATCACTTTGTCTATGAAGCAGAGAGATAAGCAATGGCTCCATCCAAGGTCACCTAGAGGAGGCCAGGCCAGGAAAACCAGTGTGACGAAGCCCAAACAAGTCATGTAATAGCTATCCTGGCACCTTCTCCAGTGTACAACCTTTATACAAAGCTGTTTGCTATCTGCCATTTCAGTGGAGACTGGGAAAACGTAAGGAAGACTACAACAAGCAAACTCAGCATGGTCCAGAAGCACCTGGTCTGAGGGAAATAACGGTTTGATCCACAAAGACGAATTACTTTGGGCTCCAGATTCGCGCTGGCATGCTGAGCTTATGATCCTGAATAATTTAAGGGACTCCTGCCCGACTATTTTCCTATGGACAAAGCACCCGGCTGGTGTTACCTGGGGAGAGCGGGGAGCTGCTGTGTCGGCTGCCGAAGGTCTGGGGAGGTGCAGGGATGTAGGTGATGCGGTCCATGGTGGTGGCCGAGGTACCAGGCGTGGGGGGCACGAGGACAGGCAGGTGTGGCACTTGGGAGAGGTCAATGATGCCTGGAGAGAGAAGCGAGAGGACTGTCAGGATGACATTGAGCTGCTGCAGCTTGGTCACGTTGGAGCGCGCAGCGACGCTCCAGGAGGTCGACCCGTCCTGCTGCTCCCTGGTGCAGAGCGAGCGGGGCCAGCACAGCCCCAGCCACTGTTTGCAAGGGGAGGAGACGCTCCTCGGGCAACCACAGCGTGTCCAGCTGCTGGGAACACTTCAGCATGGGGCATCCTCTCCTGACCCCCTGCCAAGGATGCTTTGTAACAGCTGTCATATGTTCCCCACCATCTCCAAACAGGCTGTTTTTAATTTCATCTGTCCGACTGCACCAAATGGGACCTGATTTTCAATGGCTTGCAGGAAAGCCAGGATGGTCCCGTGCAGA